CTTATTATTGTAATTGACATGATGGAATGTAAGAAAAAATGATGGACTGCTGAAGATGCGAGATATAAAAGTTGATTAATAGATGTAGATATCAGCATTGGTGAACACAAGTGAAGAATGATATATGTTCAAGATCAGCGGGACTGATTCCTCCAACCTAGACTATCTCATGATTTTATGAAATTGCTATTGGCAAATAAGCAGTCAGCTCATATTGTGGTAGGCAGAGGTGGCATATTCGAAGAAAACAATCGTATATTGGAAGATATCGTTTTAATTTTTTGGCAGAGTTCAACATTTTGATACGAAGCTAAACTTATATGATGTCAGCGCAAATTATTTCTAAAAGGACTGTAGATCACGCGTGTGCTTGATGCTGAAGCGCTGTATAGGCGACAGCGGTAAAACAGGCGACATAGTCTTGTAAACTTCCAAAATCCAACATCAATTCATTATTATCTTTACGCTGCTGTAACGACTCTATTATTGTATTAATATTTTCATTCCCGATTTTTTCTAATGTTTTCCTGATGACATATTGATGAGGTTCGATATACGTTCTTGATAATCATTTATAAAGTTTTCATCGAATTCAAGTCCATGCGGTTTTATGCAACTTATACTATCTGATATAACAGAACCTTTTCGCTTACCATTAATTTCTCAATTTCATTCCATAAGTTTAGTGATATTTTCCTAATAGGCTCTTGGTTCAGCTGATGGCCAATCTAGACCCAAATAATCCATTCCTTGTTCAAAGTTGTAATGGATATCATTTCTACCAAAGAGTTCTAAATCTTGTATGAACGAAGCTATTGCAATTAAATTTAACGTTTTTATATTAGACTCATTAGATATTATGACTTGGAAGTGTTGAATTGTTGCTCAACAATTAGTGCCTGGTTCAGCTGCTTGTTCAACAGATAATAATCCTATAGGCTTGATCTTCCACCCTTTGCAAACATACTTTGTCGCCACCTGACTGCAGTAGTATATATCCCCATAGGCTGTAATTACGACACACGCATTAAACTTTCGTGGCTTCAGATAATTGTGTGCCCAATCCCATGTATTTGCTGTTGGTTTGGTTTAGTATTTGAGCCTTTTCACCAGTGACAACAGTTGATCTACCATGGCTTGTTCCATGGTAGTATAGAGAAGCAGGCGCAAGTTCCAGAAGATCAGTTACTTTTCTCACCAAAGACCTGCCCAATATAGCTTCACATGGGTACTGGGGGGTGACACTGTTTCTTTGTCTCTCCATTTTAAGCTTGCCACAGGCGTTTATGCTCTCCCCACCCAAATTTTTGTAGGTCGTGACCATCATCTACGCTTAATGTGGGATGTCTTTCCATGATAAAAAGGACGAGGATTTTATTTTTCCCATTTTTTCCCAATCTCCTTGCTATCCCGTATGAGTAATACCTCAATTGACTTGCGTCGCCTGGTGAAAGACCATCCCATTCTCTCAGCTTCTGGTGCTGCTGCTGCCGTCATTGCTGCACTTGCGGCCAAGTACAATGACCGCGCTGTCTTTCATCCAGCTCGCACCGACATCGCGCGGTATCCTGGCTGGCCACTGATAGGCAATTTACCAATGTTACTTCAGTACAAGGATAAAATTTATGACTTTTTTGCGGAAGGATTTGATGAAATCCACTCACCTACAATGTACTTCAAATATTCCTTTTTCTTTCTCTCACATGCTATTAGCAGCAAAGCTAATTTTCACTTTTCAGCTACTTGTCAGCTCTGGGAATGCCAATGCAAATCGGTACCTCCGACCCAGTAAATGTGGAGTATATTTTGAAAAGTAATTGTGTTCTTTATTTTTTGACATTGTACAAATTTGGAACAATACGACTGACTAACCACTTTGTGTTCAGCTAATTTCGAAAACTACGAGAAAGGTCCAACGTTCCACAATGCCATGAACGATCTGTTTGGCCATGGGATATTTAACGCCGACGGTGAACAATGGAAGTACCAACGCAAAACCGCTGCAAACATCTTTAATGTCAAAAACTTTCGAGACCATTTCACAGCGTGTGTAGTGTTTTCTTCTATGGACGCTTTTACCTGACGTGTGAAAAAAAAAAAAAAATTGACGTTCATTTACTCCCTAGTGTGTTCCTCTTGGAACTGCAGTATATGCGTAACGACATTTTTGATGTCGCTGTTGAAACTGGAAAAGAACTTGACTTCCATGATATCATGTACAAGTTTACCTTGGATTCGTTCATTCTGTATGTACTAAGCAACGCATGATATGGCGTGAGACTGTCCCTCTCCCGAAAAAGTATACATCTGACACTGACAAAAAATTTGCTTAAACAGCCTTGGGTTTGGAGTAGATTTGGGAGCCCTTAAGCAAGAAGAGAAAACCCCATTTGCCGCATCCTTCGATGCTGCCCAGTTGAATGTCTTTGAGCGCCTTCTTGTCCCTGGATGGACAATTAGAGAGTCGCTGGCCAAGGTTCTTATTCCTTGGAAAACTTCCATGGGTCACCATGTCAAAGTCGTTGACCAATTTGCTCGCAAAGTTGTCCGCGACCGTATTGCTGAAACAAACAGTCCTGACTATGTGGAGAAAGGAGATCTTCTATCTCGGTTCATTCAAACTACTAATGCCGAAGGCCAGACGCTTTCTGAGACTGAGCTGAGAGATATTCTTGTCAATTTCGTAATTGCAGGAAGAGACACCACAGCCCAAGCTTTATCTTGGACGTTCTATGAGCTGATGATGCATGTGGATATACAAGAAAAGCTGGTCAAAGAAATCTTTGAGCATATTACTGATGACATTGAAGATGACCCAGTTGCATTGTATGAAGCCATCAAAGACATGAAGTATGCCCATGCAGTGTACGTATTATTTTCCTATTTATATATCTTTCGTAACAAATTGCACAAACCACTCTCTTGGACTGACGTCTTGGAAACGAAATGAATTCCAATAGATTCTACGAAATCCTGCGTCTATATCCATCCGTACCTCTCAATCAAAAGTATGCGTTGAATGACGATGTGTGGCCAGATGGAACCAAAATTCGTAAAGGTGACTATGTGGCATGGTGTCCTTATGCTATGGGTCGCCTCGTTGGTGTATGGGGCCAAGACGCTCGTCTGTTCCGTCCTGAGCGATGGTTAACTGAAAATGGGGACCTCAAAAGGATGCCACAAGGACAATGGCCCGCTTTCCATGCCGGACCAAGAGTCTGCTTGGGCCAGAACCTAGCTACCCTTGAAGCGCTACTTACCATCTCGCTACTCTTGAAACGCTACAAGTTCACCCGCGTTCCTTGGCACAATGTCACATATCAAGTTTCGCTGACACTGCCTATGAAAATGGGTTTGAAGGTCTATGTTGAGAAGCGCCCTCAATAGACATATATTTTAGTTGACTATAAAACAGTACGGATAACTTACTATTATATTATAATCCGTCTACGACCTTATATATCACAATCTACTTTATCACTAACGAACGATGTTCGTTCTCACCACACATTATACTAAGTCCGCGGATTTAAAATTTAAAGGAGACTAATATATTGACACTACGGAATCATGTTTGGAGGAGATACAGACAAGCACTGAAGGGGGGGGGAGTAAAAGAAATACAAATATAATTTGTAATTGAAAGCATTCAATATAGAATTTTGCTATTTTTTAATTGCGTGTAATTCTGTTACAGGTTATCACTCTTTAAGAGCGTTCACCACGAAGACGGCGAGCAAGTTGAATATCCTTGGGCTGGATGGTGACACGCTTAGCGTGGATGGCGGCCAAGTTAGTGTCTTCGAACAAGGCAACAAGGTAAGCTTCAGCGGCTTCCTGAAGGGCACCAATAGCAGAAGATTGGAAACGCAAATCGGTCTTGAAGTCCTGTGCAATTTCACGGACAAGACGTTGGAAAGGCAACTTTCTGATCAAAAGCTCCGTGGATTTCTATAAACCAAAACGCCATAGTATTAGAGTCTACATCCTAATATGCTGAAATAAAAATAAAATGGAGGATACTATACCTGATATCTACGAATTTCACGAAGAGCGACAGTACCGGGCTTATAACGATGGGGCTTCTTAACACCACCTATGACAATGTAACAATTAGCATTATTAATATTTTTTTTTTCATCATGGTCAGGCATGTTGGATTGTGGTCATTACCTGTAGTGGGTGCAGACTTGCGAGCGGCTTTGGTGGCAAGTTGCTTACGGGGAGCCTTTCCACCAGTGGACTTACGAGCGGTTTGCTTAGTTCTAGCCATTTCAGAGAAAGTTGGGAAGAAAAAAGGGAAAGGAAAATGGAATCGGTGGGAGATTTTAGACTGCGGTAGTTGCCGGCAGTCAGGTGGGAGAGGTGGGTGACGACATCCTAATGGACCCAGACCAAACGGGCAACATTTCTATTTTTTTGGCTGAGGCCAACCGAAACGAAAAAGTGAGCTGAAATTTTTTGCAGCATCTGAATGCGATAGCTTACGGTGAATAGTTGATTGCTGAGTTTGAAATGGAGGGTGTCACTAAATATTTTTGTTCGAGAGTAGCAGAGATTTTTGAAATACAAAGTCAGCCTGCCTCCCTGCCCTGCCTGCCTAAGTCGCGTGGTGACATGCTCGAAACTTTGATCCTAGACAATGGTGCATACACCATCAAAGCAGGAATAGCTACCAATCCGGAATCACTATGGTGACTTGAATATCTTGTCGGTCTTTGTAACGGGTAGAATACTTACCTCTTGTATCGTAGTCACATTCCTAATTCTATTGTCAGAGGCAAGCATGATCGAAGGAACTTTGTTGGAGACGAGCTGAACAATTGTCAAAACTATTCCGCACTATATTATCGGCTTCCATTTGAAAAGGTGGGTTGCAACACTTGTATTTTGTAAGCTAGGTGCAGCTGGGCTGATGCTTTGATTGTTGTAGGGACTTCTGACAAATTGGGGAATCGAAAAAAATGTCTGGGATAGAGTGTTCTCCAACAACGTACTGAAGGTAAGGACAAGAGCTAGGCTGTTTGGAACATGTACGAAGAGACTTATTTTATTTCTACCTTTGACGATGCAAGGTCGACCCCACACAACACAATTTGATCCTCAGCGAACCATGCTTCAATTTACCAAACATGCAAGAGATGTACGACCAAATCGTCTACGAAGAATACGAGTTTGCTGCGTCCTTCAGAACCATCGGTAACGAGCAATGCGTTTTTCTGATTCTGGGATAGACGGCCAATGCTAACCAAGCATCCTTTGCTTCTTCGACTTGGTCTCGCTAGCTCCTAGATTATGTCTTTACAATGATATTCCATCTTTGTATGGTCAACGACAAGGGTCAGCCCCAGATTGCGTGGTCATTGTTGACGTTGGATACTCTTTTACGCATATTGTGCCATTTGTCAACGGTGCTCCTGTTCCATCGGCTATAAAGAGGTGCGTGAAAGAAGAATGGCCCTTCGATCATTCAATGCCAGAACTCTTGACTAACAAAAACCATGCCTTTATAGGATCAATATTGGAGGTAAACTTCTCACTAACCAACTGAAGGAGCTGGTATCTTTCAGGTAAGTTAACACCATTCCATATAAGCGACGTTAGATCGAGTATACGCTACACTATACGTCGTATCATGGCCATGATATACAACATACTAAGATCATGATCAGATATTACGACATGATGGAGGAAACATATCTCATCAATGATGTGAAGGAAGCATGCTGCTATGTTTCAAATGACGTCTTTAAGGACCTTTCGATTTGTCGGTGAGTGTTGAAGTAGTTGCTGATTGTCATAGGTGAGGATGATGACCCTAAACATGACACTTATCGCATACGTAGAGCTCCGCCGTCCAAGAACAAAATTATTCAGGAGTACGTCCTCCCGGATTTTACTAAAAGACACAAAGGATATATAATACCTCGTGCTGAGGATGGAAGCTTGCAAGGACGGCGAGCAGATAACACGGAGCAGATTCTTACCATGAATAATGAACGCTTCATGATCCCAGAAATCCTTTTCAATCCTTCCGATATTGGTATGAATCAGGCTGGTATTCCTGAAGCCATTTATCAAAGTGTACAAGCTTGCGATCCAGGTAAGTCACGCCACTAAATCGATCACTAGTCGTTTACATCCACGTGTTGCAATTGGGCTAAAACCCCCCATTTCCTTATGGTACGCCCCCACTGCAGATGCTCAAGGTCTGCTTTATGCGAACGTGGTGATTGTGGGCGGAAACGCAAACTTGCCAGGTTTCAAAGCGAGAGTGTAAGTTTCAGCGGCCTTTCGGGTTTGTGTACCTGCAAGACAACGTCACTCATGCATCGTATCCAACAGTCAAAATGACCTGCGTAGATTCGCACCTGCAGAATACGACGTCCGCGTATCTATACCCGAAAAGTAAGTTAAATTCGCCGAGTTTTTGCGCTATTGAAATGCCAAGTATTAATGAAACATGTCTTTTAAAGCCCTGCTGATTATGCATGGTCTGGAGCGCAGTTTCTAGCCTCAGTTGATGACGGCGCGAGGCTTCAAAACAAGCTGGTGACTAGAAAGGAATATTTAGAGCACGGCAGCGACATATGTAGAATAAAGTTTGGGAGTTTCTAGAGCTATGCATCACAAAGAGGAGGTTCAAGATAACTGGGGACCAAAAAGTCACAACGTATTATTTTGTCATTGGATTACTGTGCATAACTGTTTTCTATCGGACAGGCTGATCTATCACTGCAGTATTATCGATTTTCCTTTTTCTATATGGTGGATGAGACCCGATCCTGCTATGCCATCGTAGAAGAACCAATTTTGTATCGGAAGTTCTTTACCAGAAAGAACTTTGATGATTTCCTGTGCTAGAATTCCACCAACAATAGCACACACTGGGGAGATCTCAGTATTTGCTGTCTGTGCAAGAATTCTACATGGGGAGTTAGTCATCATACGGAAGAGAAGCATTTGCTAAACTGACCATCTTTGAACTTACTCTATCATTGAGTCATCTAAAAACGTCAGATCCTTGAAGCCAAGTTGAGGCAAATAGTCGTTTCGCAAGGTACCCAGCTCGCGCTCATCGGCTTCCGTAGGGAGACGGTCATGCAATTCTTGAAATCGATATCTCACTGTAAAGAAGTAATAAGTACTTGCTTCCATCCGTCCGCAATTTCTCAACAAGGAATGAGCCGGTGCTTACCTAAAGTCATTGGAAATGCTTTGGACACCCGTTTCTTCAGCTGTCCCTTAGTGATATCGCTCCAGTCTCGATCTAAAGATTGCACCAATGTACAATATTCCTCTACTCGAGGCTCGGAAATTTCTCTTGGCGTAGCATTTTTTGTTGTGGCTTCTTCCTTACGCACTCTGAAAAATAAGAGTCAGCCTCATGTAAATGGCTGTATCGAGTCATATCCCAATCACCACTTACTGAATGTATTGATGACTATGAAGATCACAAAAGATATAACCAAACATTCCAAAGGTATCTGCGGCGTAAAAAGGGATCTTTCTGGCCCTACAGAGAGCATCCAGTCGAATCTGTCATGAACAACGGTCAGCATCCAGTCGCCATCACACAACCACTATATTTACGACGAGAGCATACCATAGTGGGAAGAGATGCATATGTAACGCATACGATATCGAATTGTTCGAAGTACGCGTCTGGCTTTTGTTCAATGTCTTCCTTATCCGTTCGGACTGCTACTCGAGGATTTAAGGCTTGCACTTGGATAGCGGCAGCTTCGGCTCTCTAATTACATCATTTAGTCATTGCCTGGGCTCAGAACCACATAATTAAGTCTACACTTACGTTCTTGCCAATATCAGCTTCGGTCAAGAAGAACTGCGCACCAAGGTCTTGTATTATGACCGGTTCGGGGTCCAGGATGGTCAGTGACCCAATACCGGCAAGCACCAAGTTTTTACATATCTCGTTTCCGAGACCTTTGATCCCAGCAACTAGAATATTGGCGTTTCTGATTCTAAATGTCGATGAAGTGCATTAGACAGCGTTTGAGACGAAAACGAAGAGCGTCGGTGACATGGTTGCTACCTTTGTTGTGCTTCAACACCCCACAATCTGATTTGGCGATCGTACAAGGCCGCCTCGTCTATGAACGTGGAATCAATCACAATGCTGGCATTTTTCTTTTTTGGTGACTACATTCATTACCTTCTGTAATAGTTTTGTTTTCTTTGGTCGCCATTCCCATATGTGTGATGTAGTAGCGTTTGCAAAACGCAGTCGAAGTCGCGGTGTGGACCATATAACTAACGGCAGTCACGGTCTCCATAATGTACATTTTACCACACACCGTCAGTAGCACACACGTTTCATTCATCTGCCCATAACCAAGGAAGTCGTATTTTTAATCATTTGTAGCTTTATTATCATCTTAAATTGTATACATAGCTTTAGAATATTTCCTCTAAGCTGATCCAATGTACAGCTGACGTCCAACGCAGAAAAAACACATCATTGCTCAGGCATATTAGATATTTCGATCCCTTCAATGCCTTCGACAGGGAAGCCAAGAATCCGTCCATAAAACCAAAGCTCCAGCTCAAGGGTGCGAATAATGTTTTCAGTCCTCCGAAAACCTAATGAAATGCGATGTAAATAAACGACATCGTATGCTAATCATACCTCATTGCATCCATGAATTATGATCTCACCGTGACCTTCGCCAGCGTATGTAACAAACGCATTAGGAACCTTGTTAGAGTTGAGAACTCGGACCATATCTTCAGATTGAGAAGGTGGAACAGCATGATCGTCTAGCCCATGGAAGAGAATAGCGGGACATATGATATTTTGTGCAAAATGGGTTGGTGATCTAGGAAGTACGTCAATACCCTTTTTTCCATATATCTGTACACTTGAAAAAAGCCTCCTTACCGGTCATAATAAACTTGCTCTTCTTCGGGGTATGCGCCAATAAGTCCCACTGTAGACGCAACATGGTTCGTCAAGACATCCGCACGTTGTAAAATATTTTGAATTACTTACAGAGATATTTGCATTCAAACTTATGACCCTCTTGCAAAAGAAGCTTCAAGTCCGTAACTGGATAAAGTGCACATCCAGCCTTGAAAACTTCAGGTCGGAAAGTGAGACATGCACTACAGTGGTAACTAATAAATACAACATCCCATAAGTTAGCTGAATGAGAAGACGCTTGACTTACAGGGTAGTAAATCCTCCAGCGCTGCCTCCCTTAATGACCAGCTTCTCACGATCAACTAGACCTATCTCAGCAAGGTGCATTGCTGCAGCACAGCAGTCGTCCACATCAACTATACCCCAGTTCTTCTTCAACAAATTTCTATACTCCTTTCCATAACCAGTCGACCCTCCATAGTTCACTTCGGCAATGGCAACACCTCTGGAGGTCCAATATATGTAGTTTCGATCAAACTCGCCGTCCGCTCTTGACGTCGGTCCACCATGAAGCATCACTCGTAGAGGGGGTAGGCCGTCGCTTTTGAACTCTGGATTCTTGGGAGGATAAAAGTAGCAATATCCAAATCCATGCTTAGTAGGGAAACGAATTTCTTGAGGTTCAGATATATATTCTTCATCCAGTGGCGGTGACTTTGAGTCTTGCAATATTTTGACGACTTTTTGATCTGAAAGTGAGTATGCGACAAACTTGCGCGGAGCTGTTGTAGATAACGCTGAGAAGAGGGCATACTCGGTATCGCCAACTTTGGCTACTTGCACTTGATCAAAGTCAATATAAGGAGTAGGGAGATCCACTATGGTTTGCCTTTCGGTGTCTAGTATTGCAAGGGACGATTTGGATTTGCAAAGGATTTTGGTAGCATCATTTGTCAACGGAGTATAGTCAGAAAATCCAAATACCCAAGAAGGACCACACTGGTCGATTTTTATAGTTTCGGCGAGGACCTGCTGTAAATCTCCATCCTGGTACTTATGGAGATTCCAGTAACCGTTTCGATCAGTCATGGCATAAAGAGACCCATCTTTAGCATAACGAGGTTGCTGTAGCAAACAGTTCAAGTTAACAATCAATTAAACGCTATAAGGTGAATGATGCACCTTTTGTACATGATACGTGCATATCCTTACTACAATGCTTTCTCCTTGGCTCTCTCCGGCTATGCATCGCAAATCAGACACCTGCAACCCATTTTCATAAGACAAATTCGCTTGATACAGTTGAGTGAAGTCCCACGGAAGGTTAGGATGGTTATAGGAGATAAAAGTCAACTCGTCATTTGATGGATTAATAATTGGTGATGTGTAAAAGTCATTTCCTTCTGCAATTGTCTTCACAGCTTTATCCAGATTCTTCTCCAGAAGATCAATGGCCACCAGCTTGTTGACGACATCCTCCGGAGTTCCGTTCTCAATGTGCTCCTCATGGACGCAAATTATATACTGAAGCTCATCATCCACACTAAAATCTGCATATCGACACAGTCGGTTTTCAGGTACAATAGGGATGATATTTGTTGGATGACTGAGATCAATTTTGTACACGCGGCCATCATCAAAGTTGGAGAAGAACAGAGAGTTTTTTTTCACGGTGTATGCGCCGCCTCCATATTCGTGAACTTTGCTTCTACAGTTGTAGCCAATAGGTAAGATGGCCGTCGTTTCGCTAGGCTTCTCAAGATTTTGGCTGAAGATTTGTATGCGACCACCTTCTTCATTGACGCATTTTGTCCAGTATACCGTATTGGTGGACTGGTCAAACTTGACTAAGAAGTCATATTTGATGCCAGAGTCCTGACCCAGGGATGCAGCAGATACCGGGGAAGGCCAGGATCCATAGGGCTTTGTTATAACCATGGTGAAATTAAGGACGACGGTTGTTTTGGTGTATAGTAAAAAAAATGGGGGAATATATATATCGCACGCAACGGGTTACACTTGATAAGTCAGAATTGGTCACATAAAGAACCAAATTTCCCATGCCGAAATGTTGTGATTTGATCAACTATCTTAATTTTATAATGTAGCTAGGATGCATAATTAATCAGAGTATCGTCTTGTGCTATGAATGACAAAGTATTGGTTGGATTGCTGCGGAGAGGCGGAGAATCCAATGGACTTTTTGCGCTTCCTTACATAGCAGGTATTTCTTTCCTTTTTTGCCTACTGCTTGAAGGGAAGGGAAAAATTGCTGCTGCAAAAAGAGACGGCTCGGCTATAGATATCTTCACTCTCTTATGCTTCGTTGCATCATCCTGTATATACACTGACTCTTGGGTGCTGAAGCTTCTTTCTGGATGTTAGGATAATCCGGCACAGCAATTTTTCAGACTCAAAATCTGGTTTGAAAACATCCCTGTATGTAAAGTGAAGGTAAAAGTCTTCATTAATTTTGAAGATCAAGTCATGGCATTTGCATTTGCGAAATATCTATTTCGTCGCTCTTAAATTTAAATGCTGAAGCTTTGTTTATCAGTGTTGGAGTGTGCATGTCAGCGCTCACCGGCTCATTGAGCGGCGGAAAAAAAAAAGGTATAGACGGATAGGAAGGCAGGAAAAGCGCCCAGGCTAGCATGCAGTATCTCGTATACTCACTCAAACGCGCTAAAGACAGCTTCACTTGTACGTATCATGCAACTTTGCGGACGCCCTTTCAACTCTATTTCAATATTTGTTTACTTGTGGGGACCGATCAGCACACAATCCCGACACATTGACGAGTGTGCTGCCCACCGCGCGGTCCCAATCCCTTACAGTAATTGACAGCATCACAAATAATCGGAAGCAGGCACTCGGCTCGCAACCACATCGATACGCATCGAATATCTAACCCCAACATGGTATAGTACAACATATGGCCTTCGTAAGAGGGTACGCAACTATTTCCGGATATGACGGTGAACCGACTTTGCACTGTCATAAGCATGTACTTAGTGAATGAACCGCCGTCAATCGGAGGTCAATAAGAAAAGTCGAGGAGAGTATCGGAACGTACCTTGCTTTGCTCGTATGATGGCTTCCGGGAAGAAAAATACGTGATCGGCTGAAAACGTATGTTTGGCTTTGGCTTGACCACAAGCATGCTTAACACATTGAGGTTGCATCTCGCTGCACACCTTCTTTTCCATTCCAAAGCATATCATCAGACACACATACACAATTTGGAAAGAAAACATATACAGGAGAGAAACGCCAAGCGCACCCTTAAATCGCTTTTGGAATTCACGAAGATCATCAGTAGACGTAAATTGTAGGTAATACTTCACCTGCAGCAAGGGGAAGGGTTTCCCTATCAAATCCTGAGCTGTATTTGCCTAGTCAGCTTTTGGCTAGCCACTAAGCTAGTGTGTGGGGTGGATTTGATGGAACGAAATGGAAGACACTGTGTCGCAAACAGATTGCACATGGCAATAACATTTGGGTCGGTTACTCGGGCCGGTACCATATCAAGGTAGCTGCCTACCGTAAATGCCCACTTCTTCAGAGGCGCAATCAGTTTACGTGTAGGAATAGAGGGTATGATATGTTTTATTTTTTTTAAGGTGGAAGAATGGGATCAGCATTTTGGGCAATCTTAAGGTTTGCATGTACATCAAGTTATCTGTGCACGTTATGCCGTACCCATGAAAAAAATGAGAAAGGCAAACGGATGAAACAAAACAGTATGTAGACCATGCTCAGCCTTTTCTATCTTATGTTAAACGTGGATCGCGACATCTGGATCGGGAAGATGTACTGATTTTATTATACACATTACAATGCGCACCGTGTTGCATATTTTTGATACGCCTGGAGCCAGGGACACAACTCGTAATGACAGGGTAATTTACCACATATCAATTTTTTTTTTCCGACAACTCCAGAAGCAACTCAAGTGGCACGAGCCACTTGCCTACATTGCGTAACCTTTTATCCATCGCATAAGGAGAGCTTCTAGGTTCCAGGTTGCTGGCTGGCATAATGTATCTAATTATATTTTTTTTATGGGTTGACGGACCATCAAGGAAAATTTCAGGTAAAGAAATGGAGAGTTTTTTTTTTTTGGGAGAGCGAAAGCAAGAGGAAAACTATGGGATAAGTTTTTGTTTCTTTTTCGTTATCGATCAAAAATTTGTGAGCAAAGGAGAAGAAAAACTTGCGTCAAATCCAAATCGGATCATTGGTTATAATGTAAATTGTTCAAGTTCTCCAGGTTGATCGTTGTGGGTGAAGCCGATATCGCAGTTCAAGTCAGGGCAGGTAAAGTCAGGTCAAGGGACGGGCTTTTTGAATTCAAACGTCGAGTTATGTTTAGTTTGTGTTAATGTAGCAGTTTTACACTACGGTTCAGAATTAATGAGGAGTAATGGATCAGTATAAGTCCTCGTTTAGGATATACAAGATTTGTGATTTGAAATGGTGTTATCGGATAGGCAGGCAGCGAAATGCTTTCTTATTTTATTATTACCGCCCTCGCTTGACAGTATAATGCCTATCTTTTGCGGTTATAAAAAATTTCTTGATAGCAGTACTATCGGAAATGGTCGTAGGCAGTAGATCTGAGCTGGAAATCGACGTACGGTGGTGGAAGAGAGGTCCATTTTCATAGGCCGGCGATATTCTGTAGGTCAGCTTGTGCTTCCATATGGGTGGGGGGGGGGCAGTGAGTGGGGCACCCCAGGGCCCAGAATGAAAGGAAAATATGACCTCATAGAATATGATCCGAAATGCTCAAATTGTGTTGTGTGCGTGGAGAGAATAGCTGGTTGTTTAATAGAGAATTAGAGATGAGTGGAGATAAGCCTCCTGAAACCAACGGTAGGCGGGCCAAGAAAGCAGGCCGTTCCAGCAGTCAAGATATCGAAAAGCACTGGCCCCCAAAAGCCTCTCTCAGCTCCTGTCTCCCCCGTTAATTTTTTTTATCATTACCTATTGTAAGCCCACGTTTTGTATGAAAATGCCAATCGATTATCCCGACTTCAGTCAATGCTTGGTGACTTCGGAGTAAATTCGGTTTGTTTCTGGCGCCGCAGATGGGTATGGAACGATAGTGATGGTAAAGAACAATCGCAAGCTTTACGTGTTGACTGTATTTGAACAAGCCGAAAGTCGTGGCCCCTGCTCCCCTTTGTATATGGATAACTCATCCCACACACTATGCTAAATTGGAGCAGAGCATGTTATCCTTTAAGTTTACGGCTATGTAAACAGTGTCAGTCGTCTAGCCTGTGATGGGGTCTACAGCATTCAATGATATCAGCTTCTTTGTCATAAAACCTCCTCAGTCAAAACCTCAAATTCTGACTTCAAGAATTTGTAATGTGCTTTTATCTCCATCATTAAAAGGTAAAAAGATCCCAGGAGGTTAATACCCGTTCTGGGCCATTAGGGCTTTCTTTGACTCCTTTTTCGCCCCACGTAAAAAAAATAAAATACACACAAACATTTTAACTGACATCAAACATTTACTACGTCCCCCACACAACTTCACAAAGTGGACAATTATCTCCGAGCTTTGTTATCTCAGGTATTTTTCCTATCAAAAAAAAGTCACTCAGCCTTTTGATAAGTCGATTGTCATTCCAAACTAACTTTCACGTGTAACCTATCTGATCGACAGAGTGGGGGGGGCAGAGCAAGGACCAGGACCATCATGGTCTCCACCATATTTTTCTGCAAAAGCTATATAAGTGTCAGCCGCTCCCTCTATCTTTTTCTCTCTCGCACCCTTTCACTTTCTCTCTTATCTCTCGCATATCTACTCTCTATCTTGCCTTTGGCCATCTCCATTTTTCTAACAAAATGCCCTCTTCCACGGACAATAATGCTCCTCGTCCTTATCAATGCCCTCTCTGTCAAAAAGCTTTTTATCGCTTAGAACATCAAACACGGCATTTAAGGACTCATACAGGCGAAAAACCACATCATTGCGCATTCCAAGGCTGTGGGAAGCGATTCTCTCGTTCAGATGAATTGACTCGACATACACGTATTCATACCAATATAAGAAGTACCAACAAAAGACAACGATGCAACAAGACTCCTACTCGATCCATAAGAAACCGATCAAACTATATGTCATTACCTCCAAGTCCATCACTCTCTGATAAGGCACAATCCGACAATGAGAGTGATTTACAGACACCTAAAGCGTCCCCGACATTGGCCGCGCTGAAATTAGCGCCTTTGGAAAGTACCCCCCTCGATTATTATCATTATAGGAATCCTGAATCCCACACGGTTCTTCCTCCGCTGAATGAGGTACTTCCTCTTTCTGCATTTGGACCACGAGACACTGCTGCTGCTAATGCTGTACTGCCCCAGCCCCACTATTCCCCACCCAATAATACGGAGGTCACTTTACCATCCATTCAATCTTTATTCTTTTGAGCAAGAAAAAAGCAAAAGTGGGTTTGTATTCAATCCAATCTGTACAGCGACGCACACCCACGAATTGAAATCGCCACAAAAGAAAAAAATATACCAACTCACGCAACCCAAACCACACAGTTCTATTACACACTCTTGAACCCCACTCACACACACACATCATATTTCCACGCACTTCTTTTTCCTTATTTCTCTATATGTCCTGTTAAACCTTCATGTATATAACTCCCACGATCACACACATATACCACCTCCCACACTCTAGTTTCGTTTATCCTATATATAAAAAAAAAAAATTGACATTATGAACGATCGGTGTGCTTTTGGTAATCTGTTCCCCAATTGACATGTTCTCCCACGCCAGACCCTGAAGCCAATCAGCCTAAAAATTTCTCATCGAGTGGGACAGAAATATTACCCACCCAAATTTCTGTAATACCCACGAACGAGAACCATCGGGCAAATATGAAGCTACAAAAATCCACACTTGGTGACCATGAGATGTGTATATGTTTATGGGTTGAAAGCACTTACGAAAACACCGCAACGTGCCACGGGAAGCGATTGTGAATTGTTTCGCACATGCAGCAACTTGAGAACGAAACACTGCTCTAATGAACCATTCGGGGTACTTGATATGTGCAAAAGGTTCCTCTGTCTCTCCCTTTTGCTTTGCTTGTTTGTTGCAGCAGCGGAGAAAAAAAAAAGGCAAGGGTGGACCCTGACATTTGTACAACATATTTGAACGGGTGGGGTTGAAAATAGAGGCTTGTTTCTCGCACTCAACCAGAATCATTATTTCCCCAAATAACGCCATTCAGAGCGATGGGATCGGGTAAGTAGCGAAGGAAAGCGGATTCGGACAATTTTACCCCACCTTTTCTTTATTGTACAAGAATATTTTAACTTTTGTTTTCAGCCGTGAACCCTGAATAAATCCTCCATGCCCTATGGTCACACCCACCGGTGTATTTGTAAAAAGTCATGATGTGGAAGAAAGCCGCCGCCGCCAATCAGTGACTCATATCGGCCGCAGGTGGACCATGTATTTGCAATCCTGATGATGGTCTTTCCTTCCGGGCTGCAGGTGTGGTTGGAGGCCGGGTTGAGACGAAAATGAAAGAAACGTGCAAGGATTTGATAATAGTTGATGTCCAATTGAAAAGTATGATATTCGGGTGAAAACAGCGTTATCTCGAAATAATAAAAAAAGTGTGTATTGTATGTCTGTATAGTTGGAGGATGGATGGTATAAGCTGTTGACAATGTGTCTCTCCATTATGAAGGAAGGTCAGGGTTGAGATCCAGCTCCCAGAATGCATCGTTATGAATATCTTCGCCACCAGCTGCTGGTTTACCCATGCCATCATCTTGGCCTTCTTCATCTTCGCTGCTTTCGCTCGACGAATTATCGACTGCAACACAAAAGATTAGATATCGACTACTCTGTGACACCTTACAAAAGAACACCAGTTTCTTTTTCTTCCACTTACAAGTCTCTTGAGCTTGTTGCTCAGGTGGCACGTGTTGCCAATATAAGATACCTCGCCGCATACGTTCTTCATCAGGGTATGGTTTTTCGAAATCGACCTTCATATCTTTCATCATGTTGAAGTTGGGCGGTGCTGATGTGTACTTTGAAAGCTTGGATGCGTACGATAGGATATCGCTAAAGTTCATGTTCGCTACAACGATAAACAAGGACATGAGTACCGAAGACATGTACGCACGTCACACCCGCGTTATAAACTTATCGCGGTACTTACCGTCCGATGCCTTCTTCATTAATGTAAGCTCCTCTTGTGCACCACTGAGAGTCTCTGCTAAAAGCGATCGCGTCTCCTGTAATCGATTGACCACCATTAACAGTGATGCATTCTGAGCCTTGATGTCTTCTTGGATAGCGACGATCTGCTGATGTTGTCGCTGATGTTCGTCAACTACATTAAAGGATAGCGTATTAGCGCAGGTCATTTAACGCCACCGTGTCTTCCATACGGTCGCTTACTTTTTTTAACTGCCTGCTGTAACTTTGCATCCACTGCAAGAATCCGGTTTGTGATGTAGTCGGGAGTGTTTTCGATAGGTAAATTAGGCGTTTCGATCAAACTGTTGACGGCAGTAAAGTATTGTCGAACCAGAGAGGCATACTCAGATAGAAGTGACCCCACTTGTACTTTCAAAGACAAGGATTCCGCGACGTCTGTCATAGCGTCTAGATTATGTCGGGCAGCGTGTCGAAGCAAAGCAGGCAAACACAGCTGAAAATTTAACAGCGCTGGCTATTATTTTTGTGGGTCCGCAGCGTCTATGGTTTTTTGTACTTGTTCTTGTTCGGCTGAATGCAGAGCGAACATAGCAAGCGTGTTTTTCGAAATGAACTCAATGGACTAGACGCAGTAAGTTATATGATCTATGGGTGCAGTTCACCCTCGTTAACGTTAAATGTCTTGATTCCAACCTTACACTTTCGCCTCACCGCTCAGTATGCTCGCCACAAGCGGTTTGTTCGAGATTACATTCAGTTTTATGGCAAATCACAGGCCACGTCGTCGCGGACGGGTAAAACGGAAATAGAGATTCTAGCAGAGAACCACAGGTAAGTCTATCGTTCATACTGCTGGTTTCTCCCAGCCACTACATGTTATTCACCGGAATGGTCGTAGGTTCGTGAGAGACGTGGATGAAGCGGATTCAGACATTTCATGGGAGCAGAGGATTGCAAAGCGATACTACGATAAGCTTTTTAAAGAATATGCTATATGTGAGCTCAAACGGTATAAAGAGGGCAAAATCGCCATGCGGTGGCGTACCGAGAACGAAGTCATAGTCGGTAAAGGTATGTAGCCTGGGATCAAAAAATCCCACTTTGGGCAGGGTATTTAAGCTAACAGTTCTTCTTTTGTATCCTACCCTTAGGCCAGTTTGAGTGCGGATCCACACGGTGCAACAACACAGAAAAGCTGAAGAGCTGGGAGGTCAACTTCGGATACATGGAGGATGGCGAAAAGAAAAATGAACTGGTTAAACTGCGGCTCTGTCCACTCTGTTCTGACAAACTCAACTATAAGACGCAGAAACGAGCGGCAAAGGCTTATAAATCCAGTCGGAAAGAGAAGAGACGACGGAGCCAAAGTGACGATACCGGACAAGGCGATGAAGAGGTTGAAGCTAAGAAGTCTCGGCGTAGAGGTTCTGATCATGAAGAAGACATACAAGGTAATTTTATCTTGCTTTCACTTGCTCTGCGAACTCTCTACTAACAAATATTTAATTAGATCAACCAGCCCAGAGCGATCAGAAGGATAATGCAGCGGCTATTTGGAAACAACCAATCCAGGTGGATCAAGACAAAACCACGGACGAGCAATTGGACAGTTATTTTGCCGACTTGCTACAGTAATGTAGTGCATGCATACCATTTACTCTCTCAAAAAAAGTTTGTGCATTTATGTTAATATTCATTTTACATCGAAACAAAAAAACTGCATTCGATCTTGGGAAGTCAAGGGTTGAGAAAGCTGGGAGCTGTGAACGTGGGGTCAATTAAACAAATTAAATATAGTACATTGGGCAAAGAATATGTAGAAAGGATTGGATAAAAAGTTCAGCAAATAATACGATGGCGACGAGGACCTTTTTTCAGGATATAATACAGTTGTCGCTTTCGGGCCTGCTCCTACGCCGTAGGTTGAGAGGTCTCTTGGGGGTGGGTAGCAAACTCACATTAGGAGAACTGGTAGCTGCAGTCGCCGAGTAGGGTGACCATGATTGCCGATAGGATGGAATACGATTGGGTATACTTGGTAGTGGTATTTGGTGACGTTCCTTGTCTGCGAACCGGGTGGCGTTGACACAATGCGGAGCAAGGGAACGACATTTGTCATGGCAAACAATGGCACATGCTTTTGAGAAATATTAGCACATTGTTTGATCTCCAAATGATGTTGCTAACGAACGTATCTCACCTTCACAGAACATGCCATGCTTTTTGATATTCTCTTCGCAGACTTTGCAAGTAATAGCTAGAATTTCGATTAAAGAATATCAGTACAGATGTGCTATGCTTTTTTGTGGCAACTGAGATTCATAGACAGTTACTCACGTTTTTCAAATGTAGTTTTCAAAAATGAATGATGAACGATATGGACTGGGTCAATTTTTCTCGCGGGAAGAGAGCCTCTTCTAGTGTTTATCCGATTCAAGGCGTGATGAGGAGACGATTCCTTGTCCATTTCTGATTGAGTCGGTAGACAGTTATCCGAGAGATTGCGGGTTGTGTAGGAAGTCAAGGTGTTCACCGATAGCTCGTTCTCCGTAGCCCAAAGTCTCGAAACATCTCCCTCAGCAGCAAATGCAGTGGCAAGCCATTCATGTCTCAGCAGTTCCACGGCCGAAGGTCGAGAACGAGGATCCTTCTGGAAACAGCATACCAAAAAGTCACGCATAGGCTGTTGAAAGTGGTGGTTAGTTAATATTTATAGCAGATATAGATCTTTTCATATTTTTTTCAATCTATCTCTTACATTTGATATGTCATTTGGCAGCGGTGGCATATCGTCCTCCACAATGCGGTATAATGCCGACATGGAAATCAAGTCGGAATAAGGTGGTTTTCCGGTGTACATTTCGACGATGGTACATCCAAGGGACCTATAAACAGTGCAGGAGTTAGTTGATGACGTTTGGAACCCTCAGGTTTAAATGCTAATCCTGACTGACCATATATCAGACTTAACGCACGCCCCTTGAAGGTCGATGATTTCAGGTGCCACTGTTATGCAAGAATAGATGTCATTAATGCCTGATAAAAGGTTGAAACAAAGCATTCTCTCAACTTACTCCAGTTCGGTGTACCAACTGGTTCACCTTTATCCACTTGCTTCAAGTTCAGATTCAGTGAAACTCCAAAATCTGTGAGCTTGACATTACCAGTTTTGGTCGTCAAAATGTTTGCAGCCTTCAAATCGCAGTGAACCACCTGGATGGAAGTAATCAGTTGAGCATAATTATGCTTGCAGACCGATATCATGTAACTACTGTCCATCAACTCGATTGATTACTTACGTCTTTGGCATGAAGGTAGCTTAGACCTAGCAGGATTTTGACAGTATAAGCGGCCACAAGATTTTCTGAGAAAGTACCGAATGACTTCAACGTAGAAAGGAGGGATCCACTCTCCACAAACCTGATAATATGGAAAACATAAGTTAAGGGGTAATTATTTTCATGAAAGTCGAATAATAAACCCACTTACTCAAGAATCACATCTAGATACTTTTCTGATCTAACACACCCAATATACCGAACCACATTGGGATGATCCATTGACTTCAGCAATTCTACTTCTTGCTATAAAATGAAATTCTCGTTAGAACAAGTTTCTATACCCACCCCATCTGAAGCAATATATATAATTACCATGATTTCTTGATCTTCTTCATCTTCTTGCTCGATTTTAATCCGTTTGATGGCATAAAGATGTCCTGTATCGATATCCAAAGCCCTATTGACAACGGAAGAATCTATTAGGATTGGTTTTGATCATCATACATCATCATTCGTGGTTCCCACCTGTATACAACGCCGAATTGACCTTTTCCAATGCAATTTCCCAATTGCTGTTGACGTAAAAGAGTGATTAGCTCGATTTCGTTGGGGAAGTTCACCAATCTCAGTCAAAATACTTACGTATTGCGATTTTATATTGTCTTCATCATCGTACAATACAACTTTTTCTCTCTTGGGTTCTTGATAGCTTCTAGGGGAAGGTGCCAAGTCGCGTGGCGATTTTCCAGTCACACTCTCTCTAGATTTGCGATGGCTAATCTTGCTCTCAACCTCCAATACAGTGGTTCGCGATGTGGGGCTCGATTTGGATGGCATTATGCGCAATGGTGGGAGTGGAGGCGGAGACGTTCTTTGTCGTGGAGGCGGAGCAGGACGTTCGTTCAAAACATCTCGAATCTCAAGAAGCGTTTGCTGCATACCTTGTATCACGGAGGACGTATCGTCCTCATTGAGCGTCTTCTCGTCCGTCAAAAAGTTAAGACTACCATACGCACTATCCACCTGGGATCTCCTCCTGCTGTGCCAGCGAACAATCGGGCCCAAGTTATCGTCACTCGCCAAATCAGACAATGATGGACTGACAGGACTACTGGAGTATGGGGTTGAATTTGAAGTCGCTCTCTCGGTACCTTTGTATGATTGCAGGGGTTGCGTAGTTAGCTCCTCAGGCTCAGCCGTCTTAGTGGTGTGGCCAAAGATATTACGAACATCCAAATAGTTCTTCGCACTATCTTCTTTTCTAGACTGTGATTTTCGATCGGTCCTGGTATAGTCAGAGCCTGGCGCAGTGCTGGATCTTTCCTTCTTGTGGCGACGAGTCCACCGAGAGTGCTTCTCGTCACTTTCCAGGTCGTGAGACGTGTTTCGTCTACCATCCCTGGACGCAGTTGTAGGACTGGATTGCCAGCTGTAAGTGTGCATATCAGTTGGTGGCTTCGACCTCTTCTCAGTCCGCCTATTACTTAATCTTGACAGAGATAAGATGGTGTGGACAACCTGCAAGGCCAATAACAAATAATCAAGAAAGAAGCGTGTTATTCAAACAGGTTATGAATAAGACAGGAAGGAGGGGGTTTGGTTAGCTAACTTACAGCCATCATGTCTTTTGCCTCCCACAAATCAACAGTTTGGAACAGCTCAGAGTTTTGTAAACCCAACTGGTAAAGTAGATAAAAAGTATTCGTGTGCGGATATTAGAATGCGTTCTGGTCAAAATATAGATTATTCAGAATGTTGTCACAACTACTCTACCTTGCTTGCCCCTTGAAGGAAGGAGCTAATGTTTGCCATCTATTGAGCCAAAAAGAAAAAAAAAAAAAAAAAAAAAAAAAAAAACAAGCGTCTCAAAGTATTAATATATCACTCTGATACAGAGGCACCATGTCTCCTGTCCATGTTTCACTCATTACCTTAACAAAAGCCTGATCCTTCTTATTGATATGCACAACTGTACCAGCCTGAATTTTGTTCAGAAGGCTGTGGATCCAAGACAGTTTATAAATATGTGAGTGGCAGATAATCTGGTCCAGAAGATATGGCGATGCACTAACCTGCACAAAATAACACCATCCTTCAGTTCTCGGTGTAAGTCATTGCTTGCCAGAGGCTGACCCAAGGTTTCTTCCACAAAGAGTTTGGCTGCCAGAGCGTTACTCTTTTGTTGCTCGATACGAAGTCTATCAAACGATCCAGCCGTCACGCTCATACTGCCGGTCATGGTTCGCAACAAATGTAATAAATATAGAGGTGTTGTTTAAAAAGGATGGATTGCAGTTGCGCTGGAGGAAAGATAAAATGGAAGACTGCAAGCAAAGAAATGGGACACCAAAAATTCGTTCTTGTTTCTACAAATTCGGTTGATTGTTGTTTGCCTATTCCCAAATAGGCAAATGCTAACCACGGCTCGTAGGGATCATAGCAAAACGTCAACTGGGTGGGGAACACAGAGCAGACCAAAGAGCCTTTACGCCGGATGACCTTTCCGCTGGCTATCAAAGGTTCTCGCATTGCTCAATTTGTCCGGGAAGACACAAACACCACAGGCTTCGCGACTTTTTTTCTTTTATAATATCCAAACAACATTTCTATGAATGAGTGAAACGGAAAAAACAGGATGGTGTAGTCGACATGAAATTTGGCTAGGTTGGAATAGGATTTTTGAAAATGTGGGTTCTTTTTTTATAACTATTTTGTTTTCATGGAAGGGTGTTTAGTTCTTATGCTCTAAGGTGGCAATGACATCCTGGAATCTGGTAATATTTCTCAGGAACCAGTCACCGTAACGTCGTCCAACCTTGCTCTCAGCAATGTGAATCATGTCCTGCTTGATGCAGAAGTCCAAGTCAGAAGTAGAGACAATATCTCCTTCGAGGAGGTTGCCGGTAATCCACTTTTGTTGGCGGCTTCTTTGCTTGAACATCAAAAGCTGAGTTCTAAGCTCGTCAGCATCCATTTCAAGGAAAGCTGCCAATTTATCGATGCTCATGGTAGTGTACAACTTGAGGAATGATCGCAATGTTGGGATCATGGTCTGGTTATGTATATCACTGAGGAAAATCTTGGCATGGTGCTGGTAAGGCTCCTAACGATGAAAGTCCGTTAGTCATACTGCATATACCATCATTATTATTTTCGTGCTGGCTGGTGGCTTACATTGACCTGTGAAAGGGAAGCAGGGTCATCGAAGTTGGGTCCATTGGGAGAGATAAACTTGGGGCATGCATACTGGAAAAGGTCTTCATAAACACTAATGCTGTCCTCACTGCGATGATGCGAAATTTAGTATTGTCATCCATAAAGTGCATTTCATATTATATAAGGTAGCAGAAACGTACCCCTTTTGCATCTTGGCCAATTGGTCGCCATACTTCTCACGGAGATGGTTGTGAATGTTCTCATCGAGACGAGTTGGGCAGAGAGCAATGCACATAGCCAACAAAGCGTACATTTGATCACACTTCTTGGCGATCTGTCATAATCAAGTCAGCCAAAACATGAAAAGCGATAATTTTGTTCCTGAAACTAACTCTTTACCTGGTCAAACTGATATGAACGAGTATGGTATTGCTTGGTTCGTTGGATGAAAGTCAAGACAGTGGAGAAAGCTCTGATGGCATCAGCATATCTTCTCATCATCAAGTAAGAGAAACCAACGTAGTAGTATGTGGTAACGTGGCATGGAATGACACGAGAGAAGAGAGCCTTCTTGTTGAGTTCAATGTTATCCATCATCTTGAGTGCCAAGGTGTAGTCACCCAAAAGACAGTGAACACGCAAGAGACCAATGATAGAGAAGTATCCCAACATCTTGTAGAGAGGTCGTGAACCGTATTCACCAGCAGCTTCCCTGGGAGTGGCAAAACATTTAGCTGCAAGTTCATATCATACAAGCACGCATTTCCCACTCATACTTACAACATATCACCTCCGTTCTTGTTAACAAGAAGCTGTTCGTTGATGCGAGACTTTTGAATCAAGGAGTACAAGACATTGAGAACACTGTAGCAGCTCCAAATTTGCGGGTTGTCACGAAGCAAAGCAATCTCCTCTTCAGAGCGGTTCTTAATTCTGTTTCTGCAGTTGCAGAAAGACTGGAACTGGTAGATGAACTCGTCAATGATATCCCACAACCATTGGTTTGGAAGTTCAAGGTTAACGGGGAAGTCGGAATCTGTTAAGGTCATCGGTTAGCTTAGTGTCCAACTCATCACATATCCAAAAACCTTTGCACTTACTCAAGATATAGTTGAAGAGATCGCAGTAGTTCTCGTATGAGTGGAAGCGGTCTTGGATGGAAGGCGAAAGACGAGCATAAATATGACGATAGTACAATTCGCGGTACAAGGTCAAAAAGACTTGATCTGCAAGCGACAAAGCGTTAATGATCAATCACCCGTCTCAATATGTATATACGGCAAGACTAAACTTACCATCGTCAACGAGGGGAGAAATAAGTTCTGCCTCAGGCCATGGTTGCTTTGCGTAGAATCGGTCAGTGAGCTTGTTGAAAGTGACCTCGTAGAGAGTGTGCAATTCGTAAATGTTATTCTCAAGAACATTTCTGTGGAAGTAGGTGATGAAGTTCTTGATGGTGTCAGGGATCTCGACAGCAATAGGTTGCTTTTGAGAAGAAACAACGCCTAAAAGGAGGAATTATGTGTTATTGTGGGTATGATTCTATTAGATGCACTAGACAAAAAAAAGTTTTTCATGTGATTGTTTTGTTAAATCATTACCTTCTGAATCGAAACCGTCATCAACATCAGCATCCTGAGGATATTGAGCCGAAGTGACGAGTTCAACTTCGGCAGCAAGATCGTCTTCCTCGTAGTTATCGTGATACATGATCAACAAGAATTATGAATCAGCCACCCGAAGAAGTTTTGGCGATTTTGCTTGTCGTTTACCAGTAATTTTAAACACCGTCCAACTGCCCTATCAGACTGTGCTTGGGGTCTGCAAAACATGGTATGCGTAAGATTATTGCTATCATACGTGGAGACCCGCCTTTCTCTTCATATAAAGTCATGGAAGTTTTTATTACGATCTAATGAATACATTGTGCTGCGTCTTGGTTCTTGATTTCTCGTATTTGCGCACTGCTATTGCTTTGCTGGGCTGGGTTTACCAACCCAAGCAGGCAAAATCTCTTCAGGCCGTAGGAGTCTCAAACTTGCGCTTTTGTCTCTTATTCAACATGGACTACCATCTAGTGTCGGTGCCAGCATCAGGCAACAGACAAAATACCTTCCAGAATCTCAAAGGAAAATTGGCTGAATTTGCAAACACTTATTCGTTCAGCATTCCAGAGTTCAAAGTAAGTATGAAAAACAAAGAATTGGGAACCACCAATGCACGTACTCACCGCTATCAAACGCCTAGATTGGTACACTTGACGCCCTTGTTCTTCTGTCTGATGAATTGGTGAAATACGACATTACTTTTGAGCAGTCTGTGAACAAGATTGTCGACCTTATGCGTACCCTGTTGAAGGACCAGCAAAACGAATTAGCTAGCTGTCTCAAGGTTAATGACAGTACGTATCGTTCTTACTGGTGGTAATTCAGTTTTGATATAAGCTAATGACTAACGACGTGTCGTTTTTGTAGAGGATGTTGATGCCTATGTTAAGAGTTTCCAGTGGAATACAATGAAGTATCGAACTGACAAGTCTTTGCAAGAAACCACAGAGTTATTGCATCAGGTTTGTCAAGCAGAACAAATCAACTGTGTGCAGAAGATCGATCTCTAACGCCTTGTTCAATAGGATATGGTGTCTGCTGACAATGTCCTGAAGAATAAGATGAATAGCTATACCCAAACGAAAAGCGCTTTGCAGGCTTTACAACGCAAGGAGACGTGAGTGACAAACAACGATTTTGTGTTTGATTTTTGTATTTTCGTGTTGTGTACTAACTACGCTGTTCTCGCAGCGGAAACCTTTCCGTAAAGAATCTCAATGGCATAGTTAAGAAAGAACACTGTGTGCTCAACTCGGATTATCTCACTACACTTGTTGTAGCAGTACCAAAGTAAATTTTTATATCTCGTTTGAGACTGATCACGTTTACATCACATCTGACAACTCAATTGCTTTTAGGTCTCTTGTGAAGCGTTGGTACAGCACATATGAAACGTTGACTCAAATGATTGTTCCCCGATCCTCAGTGTAAGTTGAGAGCAAGGCGTGTTTATATACAACGTTAGAATGCTTCTATGCAAGGTTTGCTGACGTTACTTTTCGATCTCTTAGTAAAGTTGCTGAGGATGACGAATATGCATTATTCACCGTTACCCTATTCCAACGTGTTGCTGAAGAATTCACTCATAAAGCAAGAGAGGAGAGGTAGGGTCTTTTTTTTTCAAACACGACATGTGCTAAATCATGCAGTGGTGACTAAAGTCGATGCATCAGATTCATTGTCAGGGATTTCCAATATGACGAAAACGCTATGGAAAAGCAAAAGAAGGAAGCAGAGGAGACGATTACCTCAGAGCGAGAGCAGCAACAAATCATCATCCGACTTGCAAAGACCAATTTCAGTGAAGTGTTCTCATCATGGGTTCATCTTAAAGCGCTTCGAATCTTTGTCGAATCTGTACTGCGCTATGGATTGCCTCCGGATTTCACATCTGTCGTTATTGAGGTAGGCAGTGTTTTTAACTTTCATATGTTGCCTCTGACTCAGTACTAATGTCCGGCGAAAATTTGCTAGCCCAAGCCAAAGTGCCAAAGTAAGGTTGAGGATTCTTTGATGGCCCAGTACGGTCATCTAGGTGGTGTCTATGGCCAGCGAAGCAAGAAGAACGAGGCCAGAGATGAGCATCTCGACCACGAGTTCCAAAACGTCAACGATAGCAGCTACAAACCATGGGTGCAGTTTGACTTACATTTTGATCCGTTCCGCAAGTAGACAAGTGAACTTTTTCGCTTTTATATAAAACATAACAAATTCGCCCAATGTATATTTTCACGGCCAACAAAAGAGGATGTGAATGCTCTTATTTTTCCTTTCTTATACGTCAAGGCATTGAGCAGTGTAGTACGTAGCGCAAACTTTAAGAATGTCTTCTGTTTGTTACTGTGGGATTCTTTTTATGGAGTTGGGCTTGCAAAACATAATGATAAACTATCAACAATGGATGCAAATTAGCCACAGAAAAAAAAAGAGGTGTATTTAAGCAATCTATTTATTTTGTCTAATAGTTAGCAGCCATTTGTTGGCATGCCTTAAGGGAGTCGAGGTACCATTGGCAAGCAGTAACATCATTGTTACTGGTTTGAAGGCACTTGGTGAAGGCTTGGGCATCGGCCTCACAGGAAGCAGCACCAGTTGGCTGTTGTTGGAAGACCTGTTGAGGTGGCTGTTGGTATTGCTGTTGCTGTTGTTGAGGTTGTTGCGGTTCCTCAGAACCACCTCCACCGAACATGGAAGAAACGCCAGCAGTGATAGCGTGTCCGGCAGCTGAACCGACAGCTACACCAGCAGCTGTAGTGGCCACTGTGAGAATGAAACAATAGGTGTGAGTGAAAATGAACTTCCAAGCCACTCAACCACCACCGTGGTAGTCAAAAACATAAATTTTGATACTAACTTTGAGCAAAAAGACCTGGTTGCTGAGGGGCTGGGTGAGCTATGGCTGATGGAGCAGGAGCAGCAGGAGTCATAGCATGCTGTTGAGGAGCAGGTGGGGCTTGGTGCTGAACGGGTTGCTGACGAACAGGCGCAGTGTGTGCCTGACGGGTCTGCTGGGTTTGAGGAGCAGGAGCACGAGCAGGTGCGGATCGTCGAGTCTAAATGTACAGGTATGGTCAATGAATGAAACCAAAACAGTGGGTCACTTCTATGCATGGATCTTACCTGGCGAGGCATTTAGAAATTGAAGGAAAAAACAAAGGGTGGAGGATACAAGCGCTGGGGTGCCTGAAATGAGCCAATGACATTGAGCGGACTGTGAAGCACACAAAAAGACTGTCAATCAGCATGGGCTCAAGCCTCTTTTCTGTTTGGTAAAGTTCCAATCCTTTGCCACAATCAACATGACGAGGCTGAAGAGAAATTGATGATCGAAACTTCTATTAGGCTTGGCAATCCTTCCACTATAAGCAGATCCAGCTTGTGGTGGCAAAGCCTAATACTTGGCGACATGTACTTATTTGACGTGTGGCTGTCCAGTTGATTGTAGATACCATTTTCATCAGCGTGCTGGTATCGCAAATGGGAGATCTGAAGCCATTGATAAGAAGCTCATATTATCATATATCTGACACTGAGATGAAGGCCGTGCAGTTGACAGAAAAAGAAAATTTACTATTTATTAAAAAGAATGACCCCAACGTTCTACGTTTGTAGGGTTTTTTTTAGTGCTGCATTTTTGTGCACAACCTAAATGGCGGATGCCCAAATTTAACGTAGACCTGGCGTGTGATTGGCCAAAGTTCAAGCAAACGATGCTCTTTTGGCCTGCTCGCCTGTCCTGTCCCCTTGCCCAGCCAGAGTATATAGAGTGCGCAGCCTCAACCACGCTTCCTCCCTCCCTCTCTTTCTCTCTCAACCTACCTTCACTGAACTGAATCTCGGCTAATGTCGTCCAAATCCAAAATACAATCAGACCATGTCCCACGGATTAAGCTGGTCATTGTAGGCGACGGAGCTTGCGGCAAAACCTCGGTGCTTCATGTTTTCAAATATGGCACGTTTTCAAGGGTAAAGCCGCTTTCGCAGTACTTTTTCTTACCGGAAAGGTTGATCCACTGACATTGACATTTGTGCCCTTGCAACCTTAGGCTCATGTTAGTAGTTCTCGATGTTGTTAACTTTGATAGAGCTTTAAGAATCCTCTATCGTCTGACTTTCACCCAAAAAATACAACCCTTTCCATTTCTAGATACCGACAGTATTCGATAACTATGTTCATACAGTACAAGTAGACGGAAAGACGGTAGAGCTAGCTCTTTGGGATACGGCGTGAGTTTTCTTTTCTTATTATGGATGTAGTAGAGCTAAAAGTTTAAGATTTGATCGCCTAACTGCATTCACGAATCTCTTCAATATTAGCGGCCAAGAAGAATACGATGTAGGTGATATGCTACCCTTTCGGCCATTTTATGCATTAGTTCCAATGATACAAAATATATGGGCCCATACTGATCCATCATTAATTATTTAGAGAATTCGGATCCATTCGTACCCTGGAGCCAACGTCGTCTTGATATCATTTGCTATTGACACAAAAGATTCACTGGAAAATGTTACTTCGGAGGTAGGTTTCCCACACTCTTATCCGTAACCCCCCAAGAAAAGGGCGAGTTACAATCATCGCCACGATAACCCATGTTAAAACATTCAACCAATCTGCTAGTGGATCGAGGAAGTTAACAAAGAGTGTCCCGGTGTACCGATAATACTAGTGGGCCTCAAGAAAGATTTAAGGCCACAAGACGCCAGACGCAACGACAACACATTTGTTCACCCACGAGAGGTAAGAAAACGTGTGGCCTTGCATATTCGGAAGAGCAGCAGAAAGTTGATCTGCGTTTATTTATCTCTCCCATTTACTTAACATCAGGCGGAGATTGTGGCATCGAACATTGGCGCCCGTTCTTATATAGAATGCAGCGCGTTGACTGGTGAAGGTGTTCAAAAAGTATTTGATATTGCCGTCAGAGCTGGCCTGGTAAGTATTTCTTTTCGCTCCCTAAACGTATAGTTAGAGAGTTTAGAAGCTGATGTTACCCTTGAACAGATTCAAAAGCAAAAAGATGATACCGGATGCTGTATCATCCTGTAATACCATGGACCCTATATTTTCCAATCATCAACTCCACCCTACCCCGTTTACCTCGGCATACATTTGCTCATGGATACCAGCTGGTGAAACCCATCTGCCTATTTCCATTTTTTCTCCGCCTTAACAAACTAATTACAAACGGTCACCAATCCATTCCAACACGTACAAAGCCCATTCATGTTTTCTATCAACCACGCCTTACGCCTTTTTTGCCTTCAACGTCTTACACACCTGCAATAGCGTAAATTATGGTCATCCTCTTCCCTTCGCTTCTATATATTTAATTGGCACATCTTAGTTGTTCTCTGCCCTGTGTTTGGTTACAATTGATGGCTTTACATGCAATGGTACCTAAAAAAATTATGAGTATCATAGAAAGTAGGAGATTGGCACTATAGGGCAAACTTTTCGGAAATGTTTGGAGACCAGCTGCCAGTACCCAAGTATGGCACTCAGCGTTTGTAATACCTCTTTTTTATGCAGAGGGCTGTGTGAGCAGGATTAAAATGTACAAGGCTTATTGAAACTTCTCGGGGCATTGACCGATGGAAACATGCGAATTACCCATAAACCTGTTAAAAATGAGTTCAAAAATTTGGTAATAACGGATGTTTGTGGTATCCCCCACCATGCATTTTTATCTCTTCCGGACGCTACCATCATACTGTGCTTACTACTTGAGTGGTCCAAAGCCCCTACACCATTCGCTCCTCAATCAGTTCGAAAAGCCCAAAGTGCTGCTACTCAGTTCTCATAAATAAACATACTCATTTATTGAACATTTTTTTTCTTCTCGTGCAATTTCGTTTCAGCTCTGGAAGATCAGCAACACTGAAGGCATTGTTCCATCGACTATACTGTAAGTCAATATGATATTATACTTTGAAGTATGTATTGGACTGCAATAGTAGACTGTAATATTAGGCTTTTCATACAAATGTGGTGTCTTCCATTGTGGTTACTGGCTACCTTCCTTACATCTTTTTTTGCCTTCTATTTTTCGGACTGCTTGCCTGGGCTGGGAGCGGATGATGAAACTTTTAACAATTCTGGCCAAAGTGTCGTTCCATGTCCAGTGGCTCTCATCAAGAACATGTCGCTGTATTCATTCTTTGGATGCATGTTCACTGCATATGGACCACTCCTTAGCATATTTTTCTTATACATTTCCCGAGATGCCCAACTCGTTCTACTCATGGTGTGCAGGTACGGACGAATTCATAAGACTATCGAAACCGCTATATGTTGGGCCCGCTCATCTGACATTCCGTTTGGTATATGCGCTCAGTGCATTCTTTTGGTTGATCGCTATATTATTATCTTCAGTCATATGGTTTGCTGCAACACCGGCCCGTGATATGAACGCAGTTACAATCCTGCACAGTGTTATTTTGCAGGAACTATTTCGATGGGCATTGTTCAAGCTTTTGCAGTAAGTCCGGTTCAGAGTCACAAGCAGTCAACGGAATTCCAACATACTGATTATATGTAAAAGTCGAGCAGAAAAAGGGCTAATGATCGTATCCAAAAACCCCAAATCACGATACAATCGCTCTGTATTTGCTTTTGGTGAGAATCGCGTTAGACCATCATGTAACTTTACTCTCATCATCGTTGACCTCTTCCTTTTTGTGCCTTAGTCTCTGGCTTCGGGTTTGGATTGACAAGTGCATTGGTCACTTACATTTCCACCCTTGTACAAACGATTCAACCTGGCGTCATCATGTGTCCGTCGTGTCCAAAAGCTACTCTATTCTTTATCTCAGCCATTAACACTTCTTTGACGTCGTTACAACATATAACATGGATGATGATCGCCTTCGAAGCATATCTCAATCTACCAACACTGTTAGGAATCCTGCAAGGCGCTTGGGTGCTGGCAAGTCATTTTGGAGTCTCATACGCGGTAGGTATTTTGTTCTTCGCATGGCCGTCGATCCGCGTATCTAAATCGTCCGAAACCTCTTTTCTTGTACAGATGTTACTCAATGCGTCAGAGTCTGTGTCTCTAGGTTGCGTTTACGCTATTGTCATCCAGGTTGTTATCTTAGCTATTTCTACAACCCTAGTGGTACTCAATCTCAAAAAGCACTACGGCGCCGCTGTCTTCTCAAGAACGCAACGGTAGCGAAACCTGAAGACTGCAAAGCGCGAGTTCGACAATATCCCCACTTTTTTCTTTTTTTTTTTGCAATATAGATAGGAAACATTATACAAGAACAAAAAAAATACAATAACATTTTGAATCTTCACCATCTTTTTCAACATATGTATATAACCAAACAATTTCTTTATCAATCCAAGTCAAGAGGGCCGGAAGGAGGGTTCGGATTGCTAGAAGACGACGATGGATTGTTTCCATTGGCGCCAGCGTTATGGTTGGTATTGTCCGAGTTCGGATGGCTATCTTGTTGCTGCTGCGTTTGGTTGTTGCTACTACCTCCCCATCTAAACGCTCCTGGAATAGTCGACTCCCAAGAAAAGGTAGTAGTCCTTGAATCGGATGTTGGATGTGATGTTTGGCTAGACGTCGTTTGATTTTGATTGGATGTGCTTGCTTCGGTGGTATTCGATGTGTTGTGCGCTGTTTCTGATGGCGTATCTTTTGGTAATTGACCAGTGATCAACGAGTATCGGCTTGAAACATTCAATCAGTTAGCATTTCCGTTTGTTAATGAATATGGTAGACCAAATATGTGACACTTACCAGACAGGACAAGTGCCATTTACTTTTAACCAAGGCGTGATACAGTCTGCGTGGTATCCATGCTCACACGGCAATATCGTCACTTCCTCATTCAGATTGAAATCGTCTGTACAAATGGCGCAATGTGCGTATTTTTCTATACGTCAAGCAATGTAAGTGAATCGTTCGATTGCTCAATACCTTCCAAGGTGGACAAAAGCTTACCGAGTTCTGTCTCCTTGAGCTTCTTCTTTTCTAAGCCGTCTATTATTTCGTCTGTAGCCGGGGGTGGTGCATGGTCACTATTAGGCGTTTAAATTGAAATATTAGAACAGTGACGAGTAATCAGGACCTCAAGTCATTTCCTAACGCACCTATTTGCCTGCTCCATCAATTGGGTAATGATATTGTCCAATCCAGTCTGACTGAACACATAATCTCCTGGATTGGCACTACCGCCAAAATTGAGACTAATGGGCGATCCGCTCAATCCGGATATCATCTGAATGAGACTTCGAAAATAGCTTGGTTAAGGACCATAGTCATTGCAATGTCGAACATCCGCAGATAACGATGAACGTAAACCTACTTAATCATGTTGGCGGTACGCGCATCTCGGTTTTCAGCTGGTCTTGGTGATTCTGTTCTCTGATACGTGGTATTTTGTGAGCTATGGAAAGAACCCGGCATAGTCGATGGTTGGTCACTTTGAACCGACCGAAATCTCAATCCTCCATCCGCGCCAAAGCTGCCCATAAACATGACTGGTTGTCGATGTCTACCAACGCGAGTTCCATCTCCACCACCAGGTGTTGGTTGACCAACATCAGGATTACTTCTCGAGGTGTTATTATTGTTTGGTCCTCTTTCTTGTTGTTCTGGTGGTGTTGGCAGGTTTCCGTTTAAGAGAGCATTAAGCATGGAATACAATGCACCTCCGTTTTCTGGCGCATTAGTGCTCGAGTCAAAGAACTGAAATACGTTGCTGTTAGGTCCACTTGTGCTGAAAGTATTGTAAGACGCCGGGGTAGATCCCATAACTGGATCTTCTTCATATAGCGGGGCAATGAAATCTCGAGGATCATTCTCAGGTTCAATCTACACGAGGACATGCGCAGCACACTGAGTATATGACTAATATATCGCGTTATTAAACCCAGCATAGCTTTACTTACCTGTTCAACAAACTGGCCATTACAAGTTTGACATATAGGATCAGGGGCCATCAGCACTTGCACTTCCCTTTGGCATTGGTGGCACCAAAAATGCGGTGATTGTGGTGGCATTCGTGTGTATTGCGGAAGAAACCGAGTGAGTATCTTGTTTCGGTCACACAGTTTTTTTGCCAATTGAAATCTTTACGAGTTTACTGGCTGGTTCCAACGTCACAAGGCGCTTCCATTCACTCCCAACTTAAACCATGCTTTCGTTTCTTTAATGCAAATTTAAATTCACTTGTTCATCCTTAGTAGTCGTCTTTTAGTCAATGATAAAGCCTTCTTTCATTCTTCAGCGACTACCAAGCGGTAACACCGCTCAGAGAGCAATTGAGGTAGGTAAACCAAAAGCGGAAATTATTGGTTGGGTTGTTTTGACGTCATCGCGTGGCCGATGATGATGGGATCGGCTTCAGCAAACAATGGAAGAAAAATGAAGTCTTCCTGAACACGAAAAGAACAAAAATGAAAAGCCAAGTAAGGGTAAATTCCCTTCTGGAGACTCAAGTTTTACTTCCTTATCACGTAGCTCGTTTATTAAATTACTATGCAAGGTACTGCAATGCCACCTTATCTAATATCGAGCCTTGAGGTAAATATGAAAAACTCCATGTATATCCAACCGATATTAGAAACCAACGTATTTCTACATGGAAAATTAAGAACACTCACAGCGGTCCATACCAACACTGGTTGACAAAAGGCTTCATACATTCATGCTAAACAAAAGGAGAACCTCTTTATGATAAAGACACTTTTGGCCAGCAGGGTAAAAGCAGCATGACGATCTCTTTAATTTGGCTATATTTTTTTTTTGTTCTAACGGGACTCTTTTCTCTAGCGATAACGGACGCAGGTGAGAGACAATTTAAAACTCAACATTTCCCTCACCCACAACCCTTTACTGCTCTCTTTCTACTTCACTGACTGATCAAATCGACTGCCATGTTGGTATTGAGGCACAACTCTCTTGCAGCGGAGGACTTGTTTATAGTCGAAAGGGTATATATATACAACGTTTTACATTCATAAATTCAACACGCCCTCACCTCGATACTCATTGGTTAATTTAATAATTCTCACAGACTATGATAAAATTCATAAATGGAACTTCATTCAAAATCACATCAGAATTCGAAGCTTTATCGAAATCGCGCGCTGAGCTTTACGGTTACGTGCTTGGAATGTTTGTAGCTTTGAAACTCGATACCGCCATTGGCGCAACGGCATCGCAACTTCTTGACTTTATAATTGATGTTGATCATGGCTATCTCAACAACCCATATCACTCCTTTTTCCATGCTGTCGATGTGACGGCTGTTATATACTATATGGTCATCGACTTGCACGCTACACAATATCTTTCAACACTGGACATCGGTGCTCTTTTGATTGCCGCTTTGTGTCACGACATAGGCCATGTATGTTAAAATGTGGCAGTTGAACCACAATTTGTCACCCAAGACGAAGAAAAAAGTGCACTAACAGAAAATTTTTCTTTATGTCTTAATTTAGCCCGGCTATAACAATGTGTATCAAGTGAATCGAAAATCGGATTTAGCTGTACGGTATAACAATACCTCGGTCTTGGAATCCCACTCCTGCACATTAACCATGGACCTGTTAACGCACCACCAATTGCTGCGCCGACTGAAGAAAGTATCACAAGAAGCTGGAAAAACTGTCACAGAGCAACAGTTCCGATCTTCTATTATTAAAATGATTCTTGCAACGGATATGATATTCCATTATGAACTCCAAGAACAGCTAGGAAGTCTTATAGAACACATCACTCCTTCTGACGACGAATGGGATTCCGAAGAGGATAATATTGAAGGCGATGCACAGCCACCTGCAACGGACATACATTCATTGAACCGCCACATGGAGGAAGTGTCTGTAAGCACAGCGAATGATGGTCGACCTACGCTTCAACCGCCTATAGTGAATGAACCTTTTGATATAAGGTCATCGGGTGTAGACTTGGACGATAAACAACGGCAAACTTTTTGCAATATCTTATTACACGCCGCTGATATTAGTAATACTGTTCGACCTTGGCCACTATGTCAGCAATGGTCAGACCTTGTTATCCAAGAATTCTTTCGGCAAGGAGATGCTGAGAAATTGCATGGCCTGGCTGTATCACCCGGTATGGATAGGGATGAGGCCACGCAACAAAACGTATCGCTCAAGTTCAGTGATTTTGTCGTCAAGCCCTACTTTGAAGCATTCGCTGAATTTCTTCCAGCCGCATCCACCTACTTGGACACTTTAGCGGAAAACAGAGCACAATGGGAGCGCATTCGAGATCGACCGACTTCAGTCACCCCACCACCCAACCCTGAAGAGAATCAACTTCCATCTTCCATCCTACCCAAGCGACCTATCCTCAACCCAACCGGTAGACGAGTTAGTGTTGCAGCTGGTATTGTTGTTATTCCCGACCACGCCAACCTGTTCCGACCAGCAAGTGCTCGAGGTCATCGAAGAGGTTTGCATGGATCTAGAAGTTCCAGTCAACAAGTGGTGCCAACGCGATCCATGACGGACGATGAAACCATGAGAAGTACAGACCCTGTCATCCGTAGAAAGAGTGACGAACCCGGATTTACTCTGCGGAAAACAATGCAGGCAGAAGTACAGCGTAAGCAAAAGGAACACAATCTTCTGTTGACGCCACAGCACACTGGGAGATCAAGACGGTCAAGTTCACTAGATCCGGAGACAACCAAAAGTAGGTTAAATACTCCATGTTTAGTCAAAGTTTATCCGGACGAGATCACTGACCCTTTTATTTTCCTCACAGTAATACACAACATGTTTCCCAACCATTCAACAAAAATCGATCCATCATCCTCTGTAAAGCAGGATCCATAATTACATATAACCACCCCACCCCCACTCCCATGCAACTTTAGAGCATATCAATCACCAACACATATAGATTCGCAACCAATTCAGATGTTATATATACAAACCCCCTCTCCCTTCATTCTAATTGTCTTTATTTCTCTGTAGTTTATACTTCTCTTCAATGATAGTTTGTAGCATATAAGTTTTTTTTTGTAAATTACCATAGAAAACCAAATTTGCACACCACTTCAATGATCATGAGATCTAATCCACTGTCCGTACCTACTTTGATTGAACTCCAAACCCCTTTGTAATAATAAACATCGGCTCAAAGCTGATGAATTATATGTTTGTGTGTTACAATCACTGTTGTAAAGCTGCTTATTTTTTCCTACCGTGACGAAGTGTGTGCCAACCGCCAAGAGAGTGAAAAGTTTAAAAGTCACCACCTTGAGCGGCCTGAATCAGCCAAATCAAGAGAAGTTTCAATTTCATTTGCCCTGATACTCGCGCTTTTAAAAGCCACCTTTTACCTATAAAAAAAAAAAAAAAAAACCTCGCTGGGACGAGTGCATTACGAAAATTTTCAGTTGCATGGGCAGTTTGAAGTGCCTTGGTTCGCGTAATTCTATAGGAATGGAAAGAAGATTCTTTCAACGGTATTTATTTTCTATATCAAGTATTTTGAGCATTTTCAGCCTTGCATCAAAGCTACTTTGTGTGCCAAGGCGCAGCTAAGCTTTTTTGACCGCACCTCAACAAAATTACCAATTCTGGAAGTAATTCACCGTACTGTCCGTAATGCTCAACCTTTATCCTCAAACTTCGTTGGCAATATAAATACCACCGATTAATACAAGCAAGAGAATATATTATCACGAAAACAACTTCCAAATAATGTCTTCTGTCTCTAGCCTTATCGCTACCCCAACTCTCGTTCCCTCCGTTATTGCAGCGTAAGTTACTGAACATCAGCGATAAATGGTTTGACAGCAATTTAACGTGTTTCAATTTAGTCTTGTATTCGGTGTGGAACTTGTAGGTATTGGCATTCGATACTTCACCAGCGGTCTTTTCGAGCCCTACTTGTATCTAGTCAAACTTGCGCGTAAGTACCATGCATATCAAGGCATCAATCCCATTTCTAAAAGCTAACACCTCCCCTAAAGTTATTCGAACTATCTCTGAAGTTATGAAAATTGTTTGGACGCGAATCGATGATCCAAGCTCAACCTTTATCCTTATCACGGAAATCCTTAGCAAAGTCGGTTCTGTCTTTGTCTTGTTCACCCTTTTCCGAACTCTCACTTATTGGGTTCGTATCCGGTGTTATCCTGGTCAAATTATGCCTATGCTTGTGGACAGAACCCTGCGACTCAGTCTGTTGATTGCTTTGGTTGGTCAAATTTTGGGTATCGTCGGTATTGTTGAGATGATGAATGCAGACGACTATTCCCTTGGTGTCACACTCCGCGACGTTTCAAGAGTCATGCTTCTTGTTGCAAGTGTTGTCTTCATTCTCTTGGTCCTCATGAACTCCGCAAGAGCTCGCGATCCCAGCACCGCCTTTATGCTTATCATTCTTGGCATCATTGCTGCTGTTCGTGCAACATATGATGTGATTGCTATTATTGTTCCGTCCACTAGCGTTATTGCTACTAGTGAAATCGTTCAGTTGTGCTTTGACTCCGTTCCTGAAGCCCTGGCTATCGGTATTTGCATCTTCTATAACCTTTCCAGAGTCACCAACAATTACCAGGTATGCTTTCATTGTGGGACTACCAAATAGGCATACCCCGTTATTCACAACAACCATTTCTCTTTAGGTTAACGCTCCAGTAGTAGTAGACGATGTTTACGAACAAAACGTGCAGTACAACGGTCCAACCCAGTACGTCGGCGGCCAATACCAGGCATCCTACCCTCAATATAGCCAAAAGTCAGGCTTCTAGACGCGTCAGTCAACCACCAGCATATAACTCAACTCACGCTTTTCAATGCTACTATTATTGTATAGCTTTATGTCAGCTTTTATTCTTAGATCCCTGTAGCATAGCACCCTTCCACCTCCTTGTATAACCCTATAGACTGCTGTTCATATGTATAAAGCTTGACCTTATGTATTTATACTGTTAGTTGGCGGAATGAGGACGAGGATGTGGTTATAGGCTCTAGAGCCACGCTTTTATTCTCAGTCATATAAATAATAAAAATTTTCTATCTAATGTATCCCAGATCTCTATGCCACGCCAGCATGTTCGCCTTTGTGGCCTGGGAGGGTCAACTTCTAACTTAATTTTTTGTGATCTTTCTTTTGTTTGGGAGGGAGGCCACCACATCCTCGTCCTCATTCCGCCAACTAACAGTTGCGTGTCGTTCCTAACACAACTGTAGTGTGGCTCCATTCGTCCTCAGATGTGGTTACTTTTCCGTACTAGGCGAACATGGTCTCTAAAATTTGTTGTCCACGGACATGTT